ATGGCAATAAGGCCCATGGCAGAGAAACTGAGTGCAGGCCAGTACAGTAACACAACGGAGGTGAGGTCCAGAACTCGTCAAACTGTTGACCTTGCAAACAGTTGTCCTCAGCCGAGTCCTTGCTCTGGGCACGAGGGGCAGTTCTTTCACACTCAGCTTGTGTTAACTGCGTGGTCCCAGCATTTGTTGCTTGTGGTTTGTGGGATTTTGTGACAGCGACCTGAGCAGACCGAGACCCTGAGTCCTGTGTACTTAGGGTGGAAAAGCCAGCCTTGGTCAGCTCAGCCTCAGTTCAGGGTTCCAGTACCCAGAGCCATTGCTAGGTCATCTCACCTTGGGGACAGCACTTAGGGGACAGCAGTGAAGGTGGCTCCTTCCTAGGCAGAAGGACAAGAAGCATCCCAAAGACTGAGGGGCCACTTCGATTCCCATAAAGAAGTTCCTCCTGACTTCCACCATGGGGTCACCTTGTCCCCAGCAGAGGGCTGTCCCACATTCCCGGTGTGCTGTGGGCCCACCTGCCCTAAGTGTGGAGAGCGCCATCTGAACAAACTGAATGGCTTCTGTAACCCTCGAGAGGTTCACCTCTTTTATTTTATTTTTGTAATTTGCTAGAGAACACATGAGCTCACTGGAAAGAGACAGAGAGGAAGAAGGGACGTGAGGAAGCACCCTCAGTGGGGCATGGCCACAACGCAGTCCCTTCCCCATCTCTCCCTCCTTTCAGGATATGGGGCACGCACATGTACCTGGCATGTTTTTCAAGTCACCAGGTGAGACTCAGACCTCACAGTCGGTCTCGTAGGACCCAGTGACTGGCCTGGAAGTTAGTGTGCTGATTTTTTGGAATACTCCCTCTTACATGTGGTGTTCCTTTCACTTGTTTTCTGGAAACACAGAAAGAAGTAGGTGCTATCAAAAAGGCAGTGCAGGCTGGCTGCACTTCACACCCCTATGAAGGTGGCGTCGAGGGCCGGAAGTGGTCACCACCCCTCAGTTCTGCAAATCACTCACAACAGAGCCATCTGATTTCTTCCAGCTTTGTTTAAAAGGGGAGAAGGAAGGGCACAGCTTGGAGGTGGGGAGGACAGCATCCTCCCACTGCCACAGAGGAGGGCAGGAAACCGTTCTTCATCGGGGAAAGCCAAGCCGGTACCTCACTGGCCCACAGCTCATCCACGTGCAATCTTCTGCAGCCTGGGAGGCCCGGGTGGGCAGTGGTCGCTGGGCCTTCTGGCCACGAGGCCACGAACAGCTCACCTGGGCTGATCACTTGGCTCCTGGGTCTGCCAGGGAGGCAGGTTCTTCTACCACTTGGGACTTGCCCTCCAGCACCTGCCGGACCCTTTGCATCCCTGGGAAGGGGAAGCGAAGGCACCGATCAGCCCTGATGGCCAGGTGGGGTGGGGACAAACAAGTGGAGGCTGCTGGGCCAGGAGAGAGGGCCCCGATACAGGACGTGGATGGAGCTGGGCCAGGAGAGAGGGCCGCGATACTGGACGCGGATGGAGCTGGGCCGGGAGAGAGGGCCCCGATACAGGACGCGGATGGAGCTGGGCCAGGAGAGAGGGCCACGATGCAGGACGCGGATGGAGCTGGGCTGGGAGAGAGGGCTATGATGCAGGACGCGGATGGAGCTGGGCCGGGAGGGTGGCTGCTCACCCAAGCGGAGCCGGTGGGCCCTGTCTGAGAAGATGATGCGGAACCAGCCGGGCTCCCTGCACTGGAAGGCCTTGCCATAGGACAGCAGCACCTTGTTCTCCAAAAAGCGGTACCAGAGCTGCATTTCCTCCTCAAAGGTGCCCTTGGGCAGGAACTGGGGAGAGGGAGCAAAAGGGGCTCAGGATACAGCGGGAACCCCCTGCCCCTCGCTGCTGGAGGGAGGCGGACGCCCCTCCCAGTCCCCGACCCCACTTGCCACCCCACTTGCCTTACCTTTCTCAAGTCAACCCAGATGAAGAAGCCTGCCCCCCGACTCAGGAAGGGGACCCCCAGGGCTCTGAGCTCTTCTGAGACATAGGCATGGGCAGCCTTGAGTCGGGCGTGGTTTTCCGGCAGGTACACCTGGTTGATCCAGTCTGTTGGGTGAAATACAAGCCAAAAGATAAAGCACCCATCGGCCCTCCGTCCCAAACGTGGACCAGAGGAGGTTGCGAGCTGCTGAGACCGGCTGAGTCCCTGCTCCAGTGGGCTGATGGGGGGGCCAGGAGGGGCCGGGAAATTCAGCACTGGGTATAAATGACCTTCAGTCCTGGACCCGGCCCTGCCAGTTTCAGGTCCTGCATGCTATCAGGACCCCAGAGTGCAAAGTCCCTCAGAGTGCAGAACCGAACCAGAGGTTATCAGGTTAACTCTCCAGAGACACACGGAATGAGGTTCTGATGGGGTGTGGGGTCTTGGGCAGCTTCACTTCTCTGAGCCTTACTTTAAAAAAATAATTTATTTCATTTTATTTATTATTATTATTGATGTTTTTTAGAGAGATTTTTGCTATGGGGCACATGTACTCACCAGAGAGACAGAGACAGAAAGCAAGAAATCACCCCCCAGGGAGGATGGCCAAGCTGCAATCCCTTCTCCTCCATTCTCCTCTCGGGATCTTGGGCACGCACACACACACACACACACACACACGCCCGGCATGAGTTTGAATCTGCCGGGTCCAGGCTTGAACTGCAGTTGACTACGTGGGAGTCCAGCGATCTAACCATTGCTCTACCTGCTGATCCTGATTATTAATATTTTTAAATTTGCTATAGGGCACTTACCCACTAGAAAGAGACTGAGGGGAAGGAAGAGGGAAAGCAAAAAGCAAACCACCAGGTCCAGGGACTCAAACTGTGGTCTGCCATGTGGGAGCCCAGCACCTTAACCACCAGCCACCTGGCAGCCCTGGTCCTCAATTTTTTTATTGGCCTTTGTTTTACTTTGTTTTGTTTTGGTGTACTGTTCTTTTTTTTTTTTTTTTAAGAGATTTTTTTGCTATAGGGCACGTGCGCTCGCCACAGACAGAGAGAGACAGAAAGCAAGAAATCACCCCCCAGGGGGGATGGTCACGCCGCAATCCCTTCTCCTCCATTCTCCTCTTGGGATCTTGGGCACGCACGCACACGCGCCCAGCGTGAGTTTTAAGCCACCGGGTCCGGGATGCGAACCACGGTCGACTACGTGGGAATCCAGCGACATAGCCATTACGCTAACTGCTGGTTCCCAATGTACTGTTCTAAACACATCTGAACACACATGTAGATCGGTGTGACACCCCCCACACTATGGTCAGCATTCTGAACAGTCCAGCTGTCTCAAAGAACCCCTCATGCTGCCAATACGCATTCACACATCAGCCCTTCCCCACAGCTCGGATCCGTTATCTATCACTATGGCTCTGTGTCCTCCGGAACATGAGAAAAGTGGATTACATGGTGTGAAATCTGAGACTGCTCAGTATAACACCCCTGCGGTGAATCCACATTGTTAGGGACTTATTGCAGAGCAGTGTCCCACTGGGTGGATGCAGAGTTGCCAGGGTGTCCATTCATCTGTCGAAGGACAAGTGGGTGGTTTCCAGTTGTGAGAAGTTAGGAACAAGTCCCCAAACGTTCGTGTAGAGGTTCTAGTGTACCCATCAGAACCACGCGCGAGGAGTGGGACTGCGAGGTCAGTTGGTAAGGGTGTATTTGTAAGAAATGCCCAGGGGCCAGCAGGTGGCATAGTGGCTAAGGTGCTAGACTCCCACAAGTTCCAGACCTGGTGGCTTAAAAATCACACTGGGCATGTGTGTGTGCCATGTGCCCAAAAACCCAGGGGGAGAATGGAGAAGGGACTGTGGCATGATCATCTCCCCCAGGAGGTGATATATCACTTTTCCTCTCACTGTCCCTCTCCAGGGAGCACATGTGCCTTATGGCAAAATAAAAAAAGAAAGAAATGCCCAGCTGTTATCCCCACCAGCGATGGATAAGAGCTGCAGCTGTTCTACAGACTGGCCAATACTCGTTACTTAAAAAAAAAAAAAAAAAAAGAAAAAACTTTAGCTATTAGAGTGGGTGTGCAGCATGGGACCCTCATTCTCCTCATCTATAAAACGAGGGGGAAAACACTGTTTTTGATTTCCCAGGAATCCGGAGCAGGACCAGTGAGTAAAGCACTGGCCGGGCTCAGTGAGAGGGGGCAGTCACAGGTACCCTCTGCTAGCCGAGCTCTCTCCAGACATAGGAAGAGAACCGACCCCCAGATACCTTCATTGTAGTCATTCTTAGCCTAATACTTTCTGCTCTCTCTCCCTTCTTTTGCTATTACGGCCATGTACTTGCCAGAGAGAGATTGGGGTAGAGGGGAGGAGAGACAGAGAGACAGGGAAAGTGAGAAATCACCCCCAGGCAGGATGGACACACCACAATCCCTTCTTCTCCATTCTCCTTTCGGGATTTTAGGCACACATGTCATGCACCCGGCATGTCTTTCAAGTCACCAGGACCGGGACCTGAACCACTCACTTGGCCCTGTGGGATCCAGTCGCCTTAACCGCCATGCCACCTGTTGGCCCAATAAGTTATGCTCTCTTTATCAAGTGCTCACAGCTAATGCTAATGAGTTCACATCAATCAGGTGCCTATCGTATGCCAATCATATTCCAGTTAAGTTACAAATCACGCTAATTCTATGAAACAGGGACCACTTTCTTAGTAAAGAAGAAACTGAGGCTCGGGGAGGTAAAGCTAAGCGCCACACAGCCAGGACGTGACAGAGTACAGAATGGTCCCACCTCAAACACCACCCTGAGTTATTGTCATGAGAGAAGCAGCCATGACCCCTGCTGGCCCCAGCCAGCCTACGGAACTCCCCTCCCCATTTTCAGGTCACCAGCCCCAGGCAGTCACCTCGGTCACGGAGCATCTGGGCCATCTGGCTCTGGAGCAAGCCACTGAGGCCATGATAGCGGCAGAGGGAAGCCACAGCAGTGGCCACATCCTGGTTCTCTGTGTACAGCGTGCCAAAGCGGAGCCCAGACATCCCGAAGTCCTGCAGAAAGAAGTGCCCTGGGCAGAGGCCAGCCTTGCACCAAAAGTCCCACCACCTGTCTACCCTCCCAGCACCCAAACACCTCCGAGGCCAGCCAGACACTCACCTTGCTGGTCGCCCACATCACGTGGGTCCTCTGGGGATCAGGCAGCCTGCGGGGAGCACAGGGCGGGGAAAAGGCAGCATGGAAGCCCTGCGCCTTTGGATGAACCAGTGAGGAGATGGAGAGGGAGTCTGGTTCTGGTCCTGAGCAAGCCTGGGTTTCGTGCCTTTGAACCACGATTCCCAGACATTCTTTGGGCAGGGGTCAGCAAGTGACAGCCCACAGGCCACACCCAGCCTGCTGCCTGGTCCAGCAAATAAAGCTTTCTTGGAACACACCTACGCTCATTAGCTGCACAGGAACGATGGCTGCTTTTGTAATACCAGGGCAGAACGAGGGGCGAGACCAGAGGCCCCCGACAGCCTGAAATATTGACCATCTGGCCCTTTACGGAAGTTTGCTAACCCTGCCCTAGGGTTAGCATTGTCAGTGCCGCAGCAGACGTACCTGACCACCCTCCACTAGACCAGGCTGCTCCAGGGCCCCGAGCAGAGCCTCTCTGAGCCCCCAGACCACTCCTGGCACCTACCACAGCCAGCATGGACGACGGCTGTGCACCGAGCGGGGATGGGTTGGCAGGAAAGCCATGACACATGTTTGCATTGAGAAGCATGGAAAAATACGTCGGGGTTGGCAGGAAAGCCATGACACATGTTTGCTTTGAGAAACATGGAAAAATACATCGTGACTTTCTCGATGACCTAATAGAATGGGTCTTTGTGGGGTTTTGGTGTTGGTTTTAGTTTCCGGCTAGAAATAAGTCCCACCTAGGAAGGTCCTGTCGTTCTTGCTCACTGTTACGGCCCAGCATCTAGCACAGGGCCCAGCCCGGAGCTGAGGCTCAATAAAATGTTTTCAGACCTACGCAAGGCTCATGGACAAGCCACTATTTTCTCCTTGTCTCACTCTCCTAATCCACAAAACAAATACGGGTCACAACCTGTGCTGCATCTGGTGCAGAGGGTGGCGAGGGCCAGGTGAGGGAATGGACGGAGAGGCCTCGGCTTTGCTGACAGTTCTGAACAAACGCCAGTCATTGTTTGAAGAGTCCCTGAAGGTCAGGCTCACAGACTTCCCAGGTGACCTGGTCTAAGCGCTTCCAAAGACGGTTTACCCACCAAGTCTTTGCTTAAACTAAACCTAACGGGAAAGCCTAATAGTTAAATAGCCAGAGGGGCCTGGCAAGGGACTCGCCAAGTATTTGTTGAGTGACTGAGTGAATGAATGAAAGCGGAGCTGCTCTGGGATAAAGGAAACAGCGCAGAGGGCCAGGTGCCCACCCACACAGCCCTCACACCAGGACCCCAAGGCCCCTCCCTGGGACCCTCTGAAACCCCAGAAAATGACTGCAAACCACCGACTCAGCCCAACTCTCCCAACTTCTCATTCGATCTGAAGACTGGGGGGGGGGTGTCGCTGGGGAAGAGGACTTGCTTTGGGCCATGCCAGAGAGAGCCTGGGCTCCGTGGGGAAGTGGAGGGCTGGCACGGTTCGCTGGGTCAGGGGAGCCTCACCTTTCCAGGCCTAGGACACTGCAGTACGCAGAGGGACGTTGGTCTGGCCTAGGGTGACCATGCCTGTGGTCACAGATACCACGGAGATGACAGTGGGGCTTTTGAAGCACCGTAGGAAAGAGGCAGAGCCCTCGGGGGTTCCCCTGGAGGGGCACAGCTAATGAAGTACCAGGGCTCCAGTCAGAGACCCCAATTTAAGCCCCACTCCATCCCTCTCTTCGCCACTCAGAGGCTCAGGACACGGGGCGTTAGAACAGCCCTCCGTGGAGGGTTGCTGTGAGGACTGCGTGAGATATGCTAAGTGCTTAGCTTGCTGCCCGCCTCCTGGAGCCTGCAATAAATGACAGCTGCTTGTATAAAAAGCGAGGGAGAAATGGCATCCCAGAAGCCCCTACTGCCCCGCCCCACTGTCAGGGAGGACCACAGTAAGAAGCCCACAGCGGGGTGAAGCGAATACAGCCCTGCACCAAAGCCCACGGCAAACCCTGCTGCTTCACCTCTTGGCAAATTCCAGGTATTCCTGCAGCTCTCCCGGGGAGTAGATGTCACCCAGGGGGTTCTGGGGGTTGATGAGGATGAGGCCTTTGACCTTCACACCCTGAAAGCGTCAAGGGGCAGGAGATCCTCAGCCCTTCCTCAAGGTCAGAGCCACGTGGGCCCTCCAGACAGGGCTGATCTCTGGGCAGCTCCCAGAGAAATGTGACAGGGGACATGCTCATGACTCAACGGGAAGCAACCAAGGACACAGAAGAACATCTGCAGCATCGTGCCGACTGAGAAAAACAAGCAGAGAACAAAGCCTGGGGAAACGTGTCCGAATGCCGGTCGAGGTTGGTTTTATTGGGAGAATTACAAGTGAGGCTTCTGCACTTTCAAAATGCCAACAGTGAGCGTGTTCAGCGGTACTGACCAAAGTTACAAACTAAGAAGACAGATTTGTGAAAAGTGACCGGGAAGAAACCAAGAGAATACTGGTTGGACTGGTCTCTGCCTTTCATCAGAAGACCTCAGATCCCCTCAAAGTGGGCAGGCCCACCTCCTCAAGTTAGCAGATTTGTTAAACGACAGATCCCTACATTCTGTACTGGGACCTCCAAAGGAGAACGGACGAGGCAGGGAGAGTTTTAATGAGTTCCCTGCGATTCTCTGTGTGCTGAGGGTTGAGCGTCTCTTCTTAGGGGAAGACCTCATGGGCAGGGCCTGCCTGACTCCCAGAACGGTTCCTCATTACCACCCTACCCATCTGTCCCATCACAGGCTGTCCACCCTTCTCCCAGGAGGTCCACACAGGAGGGCTCCAGGCCCTGTCCAGGCCCACCCACTCCCAGCCTGGGGTTCGATTTGCTCCCCAGACCTCAGAATTCGCTCCTCGCAGGGCCATCTCGAGCTTCTCCACTGTCAGCTGGAAGGGGCGCGTGTCTTGCCCAGTGACCTGGAAAAAGATCCCCGTGGCCACCAGCCAAATTCAGTGACACTCCTGAGCCTGATCTCTCGGCCTCTCCTCCTCAGTCATCTTGAGCCTCCTCAGAACACTCTGGACAAACAGGTGGGGCCCCTTCTTACTGCCACCCACCACCACCCCTCATGTAAGGGACACCACTCCTCCCTCCGAGGCCCCAGGGGTCCTCCGATGGACGTCCAAGGACTTGCGTGTTGAAGTTCCCTCTGCTGCACTCCCCCCTCGTGATTCTGGGCCAGCCTTTGGCTTCTGTATCAGAGCCCGGAGCTTGGAGCTCTGAGGAACCCAGACATGGCAGCCAGGAGGTAGCAGAAGGTTCCTTTTAACTTTTCACTACAGCCCCACCACCTTCAGCATGGTCTTCATCCCACATCCACCCCAAATTCAGACATAGGAAACAGCCTGCAGGGACGCCCAGGTCACCCCGGATGCCAGGAACCCGTACCTCGCTGTCCAGATGGACGTAGACCAGGCGGACGCTGCCGTAGAGGAAGACGTGCTGGGTGATGGCTCCGTAGTAAGGGGTGGGGATCAGGAAAGCCTCTGGGGTAGGAGTGGGCCAGCGACCGTCACCCTCAGATCCCCTCCTCCCCAACTTCCCAACAGCCATCGGCCCCATTGCCTCTCCAAGCTTGGGGAACACCCCACTCTCAACTCTTAAAACCCTTTGTAAAGCTTGGATACCTGGAGGCCGGACCCTTTCCTAATAACTAGGAGCCGGCACTTCCTCCGTGCTGGGAGCTGCGCTGCACAGTTACTGCTTGTTATCCCGTTTGACCCTCACCATCACTCTCCACAGTAGGTGCTGTTATCACCCTAAGTTCGCAGCCAGACAACGGCAAACAACTACACCTGAGCGGATCCCTGCTCTTGACTGTTCTAGCTGGGGCAGGGAGCAAGAACTGCCTATTACAACTTACAAGACTCTTCCTTAGATGGTTCGAATCCCAGTTCCTGCCTCTCTGACAAGTTACCCAACACTCCGTGCCTTAGCATCCTATCTGTAAAAGGGGGACAATCACCGGTCCTACTTCATGGGGACGGTGACATACAATGTGCAGAGTCATAGGCCAGTGCCCGGAACACAGCTGATGGTCAAAACGTAATGAATACTGGCATTACGAGGTAAGCTGCAGCAGTAACAGCTCCTACTATTACTAGTAATACTAGGCCCCTGTTCCTTGTAACCACCAACCCCTGCCCACGACTTAATATGACCGTGGCTCCTACAGCAGGTACTGCCGGCGCCTGCTCGGCCATGCCCATATTCTTCCTCGCTAGGAGAGCATCGGCTCTTTCAGCTGTGATCAGCAATTCGTCCACGGAGACATGCCCATATTCTTCCTCGCTAGGAGAGCATTAGCTCTCTCAGCCATGCTCAGCAATACGTCCATGGAGTGCAGCCTTCCTCCTGCCCTGGTGGGAGCCAGCCCGGGTTCTCTCTGTCCCCTTTGCCAGAGACTGCATTGGGATAGGTTTATGGTCAAGAGAGGTCGTGTCAGTA